GTCAAAAGCAAATGACTTCTATATCATGTCCTTTCTCCATTATTTGTATTTTCCATTTCTGCTATATTATCCTTTCACTGTATCAGTTAAGATAATATGTATGAAAGTTTACTGAAGAAGTACCATCCAAATGTAAGTCATTGTTGGTATTACAAATTGGAGTTCAGTTCTTGTTTGTGAACTGCTTCTCCCGGAATAATATATATAGTACCAGGACAGACCACTCTGTTCCTTGACTCTTACTGAGATGTTAATATAATCAAGTTCTGGGAATTAACCTTCCCTTCATGTCAGAGTATGCTAAAATCTATGGGACAGCTTTTCTTCTGGAAGCTTCCAACTGCTGACAATTAAGTACACAATGTTGCAATCAATTATATAGACAGTTAAGAAGAATTCACAAGGACACTGCAAAATCCAAAGTGCATCTGGGTCATTCATTCTATAACACTGTCCCAGGTAATTATTCTGCTTTTGTATGAAGCATTTAGAGCATGGAAAATAACTAGATTTGGTCACTGTTGTAGCAACAACTTCAAATTGCTTCAATAGCTAGCTTTTTTTAAGATTCAGAATTCTATCATAAAAAATACATTTACTTGTCTTTTCTCATTTTACTTTCAGTGTAGCACTTCCAAAACAGGAAGAAGAAATATATTTGACCTTGAAAGCAAGTGCTAGAAAAAAATAACCTGTCTAAATGTTACTTTTCACCTAAAATATTTTATTATAGGGTTGCTCAATGGCACTGCTATAATCAAGTATCTGCCATCATCTTTTAAGCTCCTTGTTTCACAGGCTTATAACTTCTTTAAAAGTCACCCAAGGTCCTTCAATCTCACTGCCAGTTCAGAAAAGAATACACACACAGAGACACTTACACTTCCATTCTCCTAGTTAAAATGTCACACTGCGCTTGATAATGTTAAAAATTCTATAATTTTTATAGTTAGGGCTTTAGTTGAACAGCATAAAACTGTTCCAACTTTCCTCCCCAATGACTGATCAGAAGGGCAAATTTTAAGTTTCTAAAGTCTTTGCCTTTGTCAGGTATTATCACAGTTTTCATTATACCATCTTGGTTTAGAGGATTATAATGCAAGGAAAGAATGTATGTGAAATGGCAATAGTAAATGCTAAACTTTTACTATCCATTTTGATACACTGTCTTCTAATATCCTGCATTGCTCCAGAAAAGTCTAAGACAACTATTCTTTTTTTAATTAATTGATTTCATATCGGCTGCGTTGGGTCTTAGCTGCTGCATGGGCTTTCCTCCAGGTGTAGTGAGCAGGGGCTGCCCTCTGGTTGTGAGGCACAGGCTTCTCATTATGGGGGCTTCTCTCTTGCAGAGCACGGGCTCTAGGTGTGGGGGCTTCAGCAGCTGCGGTGCGAGGGCTCGGGAGTTCCTGAGCTCCAGAGCGCAGGCTCGAGAGTCGCGGCACGGAACGCACGTCTCCTGCACTGGCAGGCAGATTCTTTACCACTGAGCCACCAGGGAAGCCCTAAGACAATTCTTCTTCTTCCTTTATTTTTCTCTCTGGAAGATTTTTTTTACTACTATTTAAAATTTTTATTTATTTATTTATTTTTGGCTGCACTGGGTTTTTGTTACTATGTGTGGGCTTTCTCTAGTTGCTGCGAGTGGGGGGTTCTCTTTGCTGCAACGTGTGGGCTTATTGCGGAGGCTTCTCTTATTGCAAAGAACGGGCTCTAGGCACGTGGGCTTCGGTAGTTGCAGCACCCGGGCTTAGTAGCTGTGGCACACGGACTTAGCTGCCCTGCAACACGTGGGATTTTCCCAGATCAGGGATCAAACACGTGTTCCCTGCATTGGCAGGCGGATTCTTAACCACTGGCCCACCAGGGAAGTCTCTCTGGAAGACTTTAGAATCTGCTTATTATCCTTGGTATTGGGTAATGTCATTATTAATGTGACTTGAAATGTTTTTACTATTGCTTTGTATTGGAGGTTTCTACATGATTCTATATAATTCAATTTTTTAAGTTAAAATGTAAAAGTAAGGTACTAAAACCAAAGGGACACTCTTTGTGTAAGGGTTGGACTTGTCAAGTAGTGACCTTCATCATCAGATGGGTATTCTTTTACTTGAGAAACTTTCTAATGTCATTTTCTTAAAGACTTTTCTAGAATCATTCATTTTTATCTGTGAAAACATCCCCAGTGTCTCATATGGGATTGTACACCTAGTTGTCAGCATTCTTACAGCTGATGGCATTAAAGCCCTAGGGTCCATGTTCAATAAGTAGACTTTGTTTTAAGCCCCTATTTTTTTTCCAAGACTCTCTTCATTGTCTGAGCAGAGCTGGGAGTCTTTCTGTTTCTTTTGTTGGAATATGTTAGGGTTGTTAACACAGATTAACAAGCTTAGCAAACATTTTATCATGAATAGAAACAGAACTCTGAGAGGGCATGAGGAGTGGGTGAGAATAATTACCTCTTCTGGAGGGCTCAGGAGAGGCTGCAAAGATGAATCATCACCAAATCTGGGTTTTGAAGTAAGATGCAAACTAACTAAAACATGTGGGTGGCAGGGATGGACAGAGAAGAGCACTTGCAGGAAGAAGTATCTGTACAATATCAAGGAAGTCTGGAGGAACACAGTCCATGCCTGAAGCAAGAAGGCATTTGATGCCATAATGTCAGTACTTAATATCAGGGACAGGGCAGGGAAGTAGCATTTCATCTGATTTAAAGATGAACACAATTAATTAGTTTCTTTTAAAGTACCCAAGTCCTTTATCTTTTAAATGTAAAATTTAATTATATGTTTTTTTACTCTAATCTGGACTAATCAATGTGTCTCAATTCTATCATTTGCTACTTGTATCTAGGGACACATAACTTAAGAACTTTGGTCCTCAAAGTTCTCATCTGTAAAATGGTTACAGAATCTGCTTGTATCAGTCAGGATTTCTAGTTATGTGCAAGAGAAAGCAATACTTGCTATTCTAAGCAGAAAAAGGTTTGAGGAAAGGATATTGGAAATGTCTCTGAAAGTGTAAAACTAAGTTTGGATATTATGCAATCATGACAAAGTCCAAAATTCTTCCACAGCCATGGTACCACGGAGCATCACAGCCACCTGCATTAGGCACAGACACTGATCTCTCTGCTGCTGTGCGTTGGATGCAGCTGCTAGAAGCACTTCACTGCTGCCTCTGGGGACTAGATGTGGCTGTGGAGGTATTTGTCTGGGGCTGTGAATCTGATTGGCACAATTCAGAACGTGTGTCCATGACCTGTATGTAATGGAGTGACACAGTAAGCAAGGCACTGTTTCCCAGATTCTCCATGAAGACATAGTAGGTTCTGCTTCACAAGGAGGGTTAGAGTTCTCCAAACATAGGAAACAGGGATGAATACTGGCTAGCTGAGAAGAATGATAAATGTCCATGTGGTTCAGCTTATCAAAAGGATTTTGGAAAATACATAAGCAGAAAACTCCAAAAATGCTCGGTATTATTAGCATTATCTTTAGGACATTAATGTCAGGAGAGATTGTTGAGTCAATCCTGTGTTAGTTTTCTACTGCTGTATAGCAAATCACTATAGGATAGTGACTTAAAAACAACAACTTTTACTGCAGAGTATTTGTGGGTCAGCAATTCAGGGATGGTTGAACTCTGTGGGTCTGCTGCAGGGTCACTCATGAGGCTGCAGTTAAGATGTCAACTGACTGGAGGATCCACGTCTAAAATGCATTCTCACACGAGACAGCCCCAGCTTCTTGATGGCTATCAGCAGGAGATCTTAGTTCCTAACCTCAGGGATCTCTCTATAAAGTCCCCTGAATGTCCTAACAACATGTTCACAGGCTTCCTCCAGAGAGAGATACAAGAGAGAGGAAAAGCAAGGCAGAAGTTCCAGTGTCATTTTACGATGTATATTTGCTAGTTATGCTCCACCATTCCTACCACATTCTGTTTGTTAGAAGCCCATCACTAAACGTAGCCCACACTCAGGAGAAGGGGAAATAGGCTCCACCAGAGAGGGAGGAGTAACACAGAAGTTTTGGACACATATTCAAACCATCACAAGTTATTTTTTATTATTTCATAGAATTGGCCAAACTAATTCCCTTATGTATTATTTCTACTCATTTTTTAAAACATGTCAGAGAATCTATTCTGATTTGAAGTTAAATTACCACAAACCCTCCAGGGATATTTATTTTATCTGGTAAAAATCTTTCAGAGCTTCAAAAGGAGAGACTGTTGCACTGGTTAGTATCTTATCACCAAAGGAACACATTTCAACTATAAATGAAATATTTGTCCTTTCATTCAAACACTTGAATCATCCAGTAGAGATATTAACAGACGTTATTGCCTGGGTATCCCTATTGACATGGTAGAGGAAAGGGAGGAGATATTTTTGTAATTCAGGGCACTTTTCTGAGAGCACAAAAGCATTCTAGAGACACAAACTTAAATGCTTTCAATGATCAAATAGGTAATATAAATGATGAAGACTACAGAGTTGGTGTACATTCAAATTCAAATTAAAAAATAACAGCAACAACAATATCCAGGTTAGCCAAACAAGTCACCTCCAGTGCCCAGTTTGGTTCTCAGGTGCTGGCTTGCTTTTCCTCCTGAGGTCTAGACTTGAGATCAAGATCTGACTTGCTTTTCTTTGGAAATTCAGCTTCTGAATTCACTAGTTTTGGGGTCAAAAAAGATTTTGCCTCTGTTTTATAGCCAGGAAACTGACAGGGCCCTTTTGCTATTGAGGGGCCCTTTCCTTATAAACAATACAGGTACAACTCATTTTAGATTGTTTTGCTTTACTGCGATTCACAGATACTGCATTTTTTACAAATTGAAGGTTTGAGACAACCTTGCCTTGAGCAAGTCTATCAGTACCATTTTTCCAAGTGTTATTTTTTAATTAAAGTACATACATTTTTTTGGACATAATGCTATCACATACTTAATAGACCACAGTATGTTGTGAACATAAATTTTATACTCACTGGGAAACTGAAAAATGTGTGATTCCCTCTACTGCGGTGGTCTGGAATGGAACCCACAATATTCCTCAGGCATGCCTGTATTAAAAAATTACATTTTACAAGGTCATATAAAAAAACAAGATAAAGAGAGACATTATTCAAAAGAAATTTTTATGGGACTAAAGTTTGATCAAGTCAAGGTATCAGATATTTTGTTCAGATTGGTTAGTTAGCACAAATGGTTCAGGGTTCAGCTAATCATTTATGATGTGAAGAATGGAAATTTGGAGGGTGTGTGTCATAGATAAACAAGGTAAGTCTTATTTAAGTCTTGTGGGAAAGGATGATTCCTTGCAATAAACCAGTTACCATTTCCAGAATGTGAAAAAGTGGGAAGATTTCTGCAACTCTTACTGGTTTCCATGATTATAAGGCTTGGAAAGTTCACAGCTGTCAATGACTACACTGGCAATAAAGACCATTAAACTGATATTATACATTATCAACATTTTCTTCATTTTTTATTTAATTTTCTCATTTATTTAATTTTTAATTTTTTTACTGAGGTCATTTTTTCCTAAAAGCTTTTTTTTTTTTTTTTCATTTTTTCTCTTCCCCCAATTTTCATTGGCCTTAAAAGTATCCAAGTCTCTGATGTGAGACCCAGAATGGTTGAGGGCCTTTACAACCACTGAGTTATGGCAGAGCTCAGACAAGATGAACCAAGTCTAAGTTTCTTTCTCCATCTACATCTTTATGAAGCTTGAAGAAAGTTCTGCTCAACTGGTAGGATGAAGATTTGGGAATGGCAGTAGGGTTGGGAATGTTAATTTTGAAATAAAATTCTGCAGACTTAGAAGTTAAGGATAGGTGATGGAAGTTCATAAAGAACTGGAGGCTGGGGTCACTTTAATAGGCAATAGTGAGGTACATGTCATGGGTCAACAGTATTTTATATGTATCCACTACATGTTTGGTGTCCCTTCCTTCACAGACCTTACAGTCAAGCAGGGAGGCCAATGCAACAAGTAATTGCAGTAAGTTGTGACAAGTGCTGTAATAGGTGAGGCAACTTGGGAGTGAATAGCAGGAACACCAACCTGCTGGGGTAAGTGAGCTTCCAGATGAACCAAGACTAGGAACTAACCTGGTGCAGAGGATGAAGATGAGGGGAGTGTCCTCCTCTGCAGGGTTTCACACAGGAAGATCCAGGGTATGAGAAGTAGTCTGACCTCAGACCTCTAGATCTCAGAGGAGACCTAGAACTTGTGCTCTGACTTGGGCCTGGCCAAATATCCTTAGTATTTGGGAAGCCAGGTAGGTATAAGTGAAAGGGAGTGATTAAAAATCTCACCCCATTAGGGATTTCCCTCCTGGGAGGTTAAGACCCCATGCTTCCAATGCAGGTGGTTTGGGCTCCATCCCTGGGTGGGGAGCTAAAATCCCATATGCTTCCTGCCAAAAAATCCAAAATCTAAAATAGAAGCAATATTGTAATAAAAATTTAATAAGGTTTTTTTTAATGATCCACATCAAATAAATAAAAATATATCTCCCCACCTGCCTCTGGGAGTGTTGGAATCCAGGACTACACTGCCCACAGGTTTGGATGAAAAAGTAAAATAACCAAGAAACCTGAGAAAAACAAACTGTCCCTCCCATTTTTCTAAATTACCCAGTCAGTAATCTGACTTGCACACTCAAGAGCAGGTCGGGACTCCGGTTTCAAGGGTGAATTTTTCCACCCTTCCTAGTTCCCTGGACTCTCACTCTTCTCTGCTAGGTGGAGGGGAACTTCCTCCCTTCCCTTAACAAAGGTCCTGCGGCTCCCAGTATCTATCAGTGCTGGGGAGGGTCCATATCACCTGGCCTACCTTGATTTTCCTGTCCTAACTCTAACTCCCTCCAGCCCTGAAAGGACAGAACACCTCGACGCCCGCAGACCGGCCTGTTCCTGCCACCACCGCCCGTGAGAGATGGAGGGAGTGGCTGGACCATGTGGCGCCTGTGGCTAGAGGTAGCCAGAGTTTGGGCAGGAGTCAGCGGAGGGGAGCGGGGCGAGGGGCTGGGGTAGAGGGCGTGGTTTCGGGGGAGGGCGTGTTCTCGGGTGGGGCGAGGTGTCAGGTTTGAGGGCGTGGCCACTCCTGAAAGGCCGCCCCTGTGTCCTGCTACCCTCTGTCAAGCTGCGGGACCGCTACAGCTTCGCGGCACCCAGTCTGGGTTAAAGCAGCCGCCCCGGGCTCGGCTCGTGCTCCTCTGTCCCAGGCGGTGGCCCCGGACGGCCCCGGACTCGTGCTGCCCTTGGTTTTCCGCTCTCAAGTCGAGGGTTTGGATCCCGAGGGGCGGGGAAGGAAGGTGAGCGCGTGTTGCAGTAGTTATAATCTCTTTTTCTGCTCCAAGTTCTTGCACGTGGAAAACTCCCTCTTCTACTCTCTCGTCCTGTTGTCGCATCCGTAGTGACCGAAGACACGCACCTGTCAAATCGGTCCTTTCGAGTGTGGTGGCGGGGGCTGGATGGCGCGGGGTAGGTGAGATCTCCCAGACTCGCCATTCACTATTGAGAGAGTCTCTCGGGACTCGGAAATCGGACGTCTCCGAGACTGGAGTCCTTGAATTCATTAAGCTGAGTCGAGTAGCTGGGGAAAAGATCCGGTGGACGCCGGCAGGAGAGGGTGTGACAGCTTGAGACCTGTCGGGGCAGGGAATCTGGTGAAAACTTTCCTTGATGTGCACCCGCGGCTGCGCCAGCAATTAAGGTTGTGGACACAACACTTTTATCACTTATAAAGTTGGAAGAGAGACAGGAAAATCCAGGGAGTGATGTCTGCATTGACGAAAAATCTGGCCAAGGTGAAGTGCTGGCAATAGTCCCTTGGGGACAGGTGCTTACCTAACCCCCTCCTCATCCATTATAGCGTTTCTGTGTTCATTTCGAAACTGTTAGGAAGACGCAATCAGAAGTTTGCTGTGAAACAAAGTTAGCTTTCTGTTCCTCCCCCTTGTAGTTTTATGCTAAAGGAGTTCAAGGTCATCTTTGAAAACTAGGTCACTTGTTGGAATAGTTTTATCTGAAGAAAGGATTTGGAAACTGTCTCTTTCATCCCCTTTCCTACCCTCACCCCCACTTCTCCCACCCCCAGCAAACAGTGGGTTAGTTTTCTCTCTCCTGAATTCTCACCTTTTAAAGATCAGGGAAGAAGAAAGCAGCTTCTTTTGGCATGCAATTATTTGTGGTTAATTCGGTCTTGTGACTTTTGTTCCTTAGCTCTCCTTTAGCTTCTTCAATATTACAGGGTACCCATAGTGTTTTCTGTAAAGAATGCAAAGGGTGAGAGGAGAAAGGGAAGCTTTGTCCATGAAATCCTCTAGTAAACATGATTATTATTTTTTAAACCACAAAAATTGGGGCTCTATTGACTTCTAATATCCTCACCACTTTTGGGGAAGATTTTGTAAATTATAATTACTTTATCAATAAAATATCAACTTAAAGTATAAGCCTCTCCCTGTGTGTGATAACTTGCATTAACAGTCTATCCAATGAAGTGAATGCTTTAGAAATCTAAGGTTCTAGTTTATAGAGGCCAACTGGAATAGAAGTATATATAAGTTATTAAATAACAGTGCAACCTTGAGAATAGTTGTATTAGGAATATTTCAAAGTTTAAAGATTGCTTCATTCAAATATACCTGTGACTTGACAATTTACTTATTTTTTATGTTATTTAATAATGGTACAATATGCAGCATCTCTTATTAAGAATTCTGTCAGACATTTCTCTGGAAGCTCTGTTCTGAATGTATAGTTATTTTTCTCTTAGTCTAACACTATCAGATTAAATTATGTTCTGAGTTAGAGGCAAGGCAATGAGGTAGGGATAAAGACAGAAAGAATATATGTAAGTTCTCTTACCAGACTGTCTCTGAACACCTGGCAAGTCCCCAGCTTTACTCTGGGGTACCAACAAGTCCTTTAACTTACATTAATTCATTTTTTTTCTTCAAAGTAAGGAAGCTGTGGTGATCTTAAAGGACATTTGGATCTTTTTGAATTCTTCTATAAAAGGCAGCGTCTCATTTCTAGAGCTAGATATCACTGTTCTTGACCAACATCTCTTCTAGAGTTTGCTCTCATTTCCAAAGGGCTCCCTAACATGTTGGGCAACGCCCCTGCCCCACCTAAGCAATGCAGTGCAGTGGCTAAGGGTATGAGTTTTGGAGACTCCTGAATCTATCTTAGTTTTCTAGCACTTCCTTTTTTTACTCTTAACAAAATGCAATTTCATCTGGAAAAAGTAAAATCCTATGTATGAGTGTATAACGGAGAAGGTAATGGCACCCCACTCCAGTACTCTTGCCTGGAGAATTTCATGGACGGAGGAGCCTGCTGGGCTGAGTCCATGGGGTCGCTAGGAGTTGGACACGACTGAGCGACTTCACTTTCACTTTTCACTTTCATGCACTGGAGAAGGAAATGGCAACCCACTCCAGTGTTCTTGCCTGGAGAATCCCAGGGATGGGGGAGCCTGGTGGGCTGCTGTCTATGGGGTCACACAGAGTTGGACACAACTGAAGCGACTTAGCAGCAGCAGCAGCAGCAGCATGAGTGTATAAAAACTAAGCAAGTACAGGATGACGGAATTGTCATTAATTGAACCATTCAATCTCACTGTGAATTGACTGTGTTTCCTCCTAGTGAGAGGTGAATTCAGGGCCCAGAAAGCCGATAAGATTTTAGGGTGCTTCAATAGTAATTACAGACAAGTCCATAGCCAAAGATATCTTTCTACCGCTCCCTTTCTCTCCTTGTGCAGACCTCAGAATTAACATTCAACCTGACTTGTCTGAGAGAAGAAAAAGAGGTGACTTTTAAAGTCATACCACATTCACTCATAACAAATACATTAATTTTTTGACATTCCCCTCAACATTTTTTTTTTTTTTTTTACTTTTTGTTGTATGTAAAACTACTTGCAAGCAAAATGCAAAGGAAAAAGAACAGTTTCCTGCCCTCTAAACATTCATAGCATGGTTCAGGTAACTGACACAGGAAGAATTAGAGCACAGTGATCAGAGCTCCGTAAAGGTAGAAAAGGAAGTGCTGGGCGTTGAGGGGTGCAATATACCCAGCAGAGGCTCAAAGGAGCTACAATTTAGTTTCAGTTTTGAAGGCTCCATTGTTATAGGAGTTTGCCAGGAGGAAATGCTGAGGAAGAGGCCAAAGGAAACTTTTGTGTGAAGGTCCCATAGGGTGAGAGAACATATTAAGTACAAATCTTCACACGTATTGTTTCATCCTTTACTGGCTACAGGATGTTGGCAAATTATTTTGCTTCTCTGAGCTTTGGTTTCCTCAAATGTAAAATGAGGGTTGTATATTATTTTACATTGTTGTTGTTTAGTCACTAAGTCATGTCTGACTATTTTGTAACCCCCATGGACTGAAGCCCACCAGGGTCCTCTGTCCGTGGGATTTCCCAGGCAAGAATATTGGAGTGGGTTGCCATTTCCTTCTCCAAGGGTACCTTCCTGACCCAGGGATCAAGCCCATGTCCCCTGCATTAGCAAGCAGATTCTTTACCCCTGAGCCATCAGGAAAGCCCATTATTTTACATTATTAGGTCCTTATTTGATTTTCAAGTCTCTCCCATAAGAGTGTTTACATCACAACTTTGTTGGGAGACTTAGTTGCCTAGAAAACACAAGACTGTTTGATGCACAGGTGACAATCAACTAATTTGGTTCCCTCCACTCATCTTAGTCTCTTGATGAGAGAAAAATACAACAGAAATCCAGCCTTGAGTATAGATGGGACTTCATGTTTTCAAGTATATCATAAAAAGCAGATCAATCTTGTTGTTCAGAATGACATATGAAGTTATTTATAGTTTCACCTCTATTATCCCTATTTCCCAGCCACTAAATGTTTACTTTCAATGTCCACCTATGTTTTAAGACCAGGCTCTGTTAAAGGAGTTCCACCACACCAAGAACTCTTTGATGGACAAAGGTTAGCATTCCTGTGTTTACATGATAGGATCTCAGGCCATTTTAGGCCCTGCTTCCTGCTCCAGTTCTTGTTTTCACTCTGAGCAATTGAACTGAGTCTTAGAAAAACATTTTTAGGGGATTGGATCTGGATAATGTGTTAGTTCTTTTGGAATACCACAATGCAACTTGAACATTTTGGGAGGAATTTGTTAAAGGACTGTACTCTCTTATGATTTTTCTCTGGTAGCGTTAGCTCTTAAAATTCTTTGAGATGTGGAAGACTTTGCCTCAAAATTCTACCTTAATCATCTTGAATTATTCCTTCTTGCAAACAATGCTCAATTTGCTCAATGACTGAATACTTAAGAGTTTTCCTGTTTAGGCCCCTTTCCGAGGGGTCTTTCTGAGGAAAGACCTCAGGTAGTTTTCTTACAAAGTGCTACAGAACAGGGAAGATGTCTTTCTCTGTGTCATTTAGATGGCAGTAGATAGAAAAAGACTTTAACTACTTTAAACTATAGTCACTGCAGAGAAAAATAGTAGGTTAGGGGCCAGATGAGGACTTTTTGCTGTGGAAGGCCCAAATTAGGTCAGCTAGGTCTTGATGTTCTCAGGTGGTCGTGCAGATCAGGCCCCAAGCAACAATTTTTGAGGGATCTATTCTTTTTGGCCTTTTATTCAGTGAATATTTCTTTAATTTTACCAATTAATTTGTATATTCCATTAATTGTGTGGTGCAGGGGCAATGATGAGATTGATTTAAGTTCCTTTGCCTCAAATGTGCTTAAGAATATCTTTGGAGAACTGGTTAAAATTTAGATTTCCAGCCTCAAGTTCAGATTCTCTCAGCCTCAAGTGGTGACTAGAGTCAGGCACACAGTAGGTACTTTGATAAATGTTTTCATTAAGTGAATTAACTGCCACTTTAAAAATCACTGTTAAAAGAGAATTCATTTCCTGTAATATTTTTCATTATTTTCTCCCTTGTTTCAAGTGTGAAAACCTCCATACTTGTCCTATGTTTACTTGTTAGAAAGAAAATGTATTCAATTGCAACCATTGTTTAGAAATTGAAAATAAAAAGAATTTTTAATAGCATTATAACTGTTTTTAATTAAGAGAAACTGACTGTGATTCTTAATATCCCATTATGCTGCGTGGGCACAGACATTTATTTCGCTCTTCCTGAGGCACTAGGAGGTGAGAATTTGAAGCATTTTCTTCATGTGTATTTTGATTTCCTGTTGAGCAAACTATACAAACAGGAAGAGCTTATTTTTTATTATTATTATTTCAGTGATAACACAGAGATAAACTAAGTCAGAGCAACTCTCTTGAATAGCTAATGCCGGCCGCCTGGAGAAAGAGAAAATTATTTTCTGCCCTCTATGTTGATGCGTATAGAACATGTGTTCTGAGTAGCTGCTATTTTCACTGACTCTTTTTCCAGTTGAAGTGCAACATAAACTATTTTAATTAATATTGTGTCACCAAAAGGGATTGAAATAGCCAATTGAATTCTACCAAGATAGAGTCTTTTGATGAAAACATATCTTTATTGATTGTGGGTGAAGAAAATCATTCTTAAAATGAAATCCAGAGAAAAATCATATCCCTCAGAGAAAATTTCTGAGTGGCAGGCCAAGATTAACATCATAAAATTGAATTTGTGCTGCAAGCCTTTGATGTAATCAGCAGCTGGGAGATGGTGCTGCCCTTGCTGTGCCCCCTCTGATTGTGGTGAATTATTGTGTGGAATGAAATAAGTGTTTCTTGTGTCCCTCCTCCAAGAAATACAAACAAGGTATTACTAGGTAGTTTCTTGCTAGTTAAAATGGGTTGGATCGATTCCAGGCCTCTCAGGCTCTCGTATTCCCGTGAACTATGGGTGTTGGGCATTTATTTATGCCCCAGAGACAGACTTTCTTGATGTCACCTGACAATGACTTCTGTGGTCAGTAGAAACCCAACAGAGAAGTGACAAGAGGGATCCCCCTTGCCAGGGACATATTTTTTAGAATAAGCAGAAGCCAGGATATGTCAGAAAGTGCTATATTTACCTGGTTTCTATTGACCTGTAGCCAGCCCACCCCTTCCCTGTCTCCCTCAGCCACCTCTTGTGACATCCACTGCACTGAAATCATTGCAGTGTGGAAATCTCACTTGGTACTAGCAATCTTGTTCCATGACACCAGTGTCACACTAGACTTTTTGCTGTTATTTTTGTATTAAGTCCTGATGCGTAGAAAACACTCTTGTCCATGCATGCCCCTTTCACACAGGTAATGGATAGGTTTTGTAGATTAAGTAGAGACAATCTATTTGCACTTTTACCCTCAGATTAAAGAGTGATATGGCACCTTAATCACCCCTGTGGTTGGACCTAAGTTGTTTTTGATTTGTTTAGATTTTAGTGGTGGACTGACTCATCTGTAAACAAGGTCGTGGGGTCATCATCGGGTACTCTTCCTCTCAAGTATGTTGAGAAGTGGTGTTGTGCTGGGGACGTTCCCGTGCACTATCTCATTTTATCTACACACCCACCATTAGTCTTATTAGGAAAAGGAGACGTGGTAAATAAGTCTAACTCCCTTGGCTAGGATTATATCCCTAGATCTGTCTGACTTCAACGCTCACCCCACTTCTCAATGTACCCAATGATGACACCACCACTTTGTTTACAGATGAGTCAGTCCTGGAAAGGGTAATTAAGGCAAGAGGTGGGGGTGTGATCTGGCTGGAGGAGCCAGGACAAGGGAAAATGGTGAAAAGAGGTGAGGTAGGAGAATATAAAAAAAGAGGTAGGATTTGTCTGCTCCTGACAGAAAATCCACAAAGGTGAGGAGAATAGTTTCAAATGACTCACCTTTGTGTCTTGAATTAATGCTGAAATGAGCTGGAAGTCCCAGAAAATATCTTTTTAAAGAACTGACTACTCCAGTAATGCTAAGGTCCCTTTGGATTATGATCCTCTAGTAGTGGCCCTCCTCTACCACTCTCTATAAACCACTATGGTATTCTCTCTATATATAAGCCTCTGGATATGTCTGTTTTGGCTATGCTTCTGCTAGGATTCTGGAATGTCAGAAAAGTGAAAGTTGCTCAGTCTTGTCAACTCTTTGTGACCCTCTGGACTGTAGCCTGCCAGATTTCTGTATCCATTGGAATTCTCCAGGCAAGAATACTGGAGTAGGTAACCATTTCCTTCTCCAGGGGATCTTCCTGACCCAGGAATTGAACCCAGGTCTCCCACACTGCAAGCAGATTCTTTACCATCTGAGCCACCAAGGAAGCCCATGAATATCAGAGGGTGGTCTTAAAGGCTTCCCTGGCAGAAGCATCCCTGTTTTGTGGGCAGAGTTGGAAAATACTGCAGTCATGGGTATTAGGGAGCCTTCTCCAAATAGGACTTGTCTGCATAGGTTCATATGCCTGCTTATGGGGGTGCCTTCCATCTGTTTACTCTGCGAGGAAAGGATTATCATAAAGGCAGTGGACTGACTTCAGTGTCAGTGTGTGTTGAAGATGGGAGAAGGGAAATAGATGTTAGGCCTAAGAAAAGAGACAACTGGCCCGTGGGAAAACAGAATTTTTCTAAAAGAGATGCCTAGGTGTAAGGGCTAAGCGATACAAAACCATGCGAGTGAAGTATTCTTTGCTTTCGTATATCTGGAATACTCATCCCAGTCTACTTTGCATCAATTATTGTTTACCTGTGGCTTGACTCATAGGTTGTTTATTCCTAAAGATCAGGAACCTATTTTTTTTTCATTTTCCATTTAGTAGAGCTTTTAATCAAGGCTTTCCTGATAGCCCAGTTGGTAAAGAATCTGCCTCCAATGCAGGAGACCCTGGTTCAATTCCTGGGTCGGAAAGATCCCCTGGAAAAGGATAGCTACTACCCACTCCAGTATTCTTGGGTTTCCCTTGTGGCTCAGCTGGTAAAGAATCTGCCTGCAATGTGGGAGACCTGGGTTTGATCCCTGGGTTGGGAAGATCCCCTGGAGAAGGGAAAGGCTACCCACTCCAGTATTCTGGCCTGGAGAGTTCCATGGACTGTATAGACCATGGGGTTGCAAAGAGTCAGACACAACTGAGCGACTTTCAGTTTAATAGATACCTATTGAATTAATGAATATATTCTTTCTTCAGGGAACCTGTAATGTGGGTAGGAAAGGGATGTATTACACAGAAGAAGTAGAGAACAGAATTTGGTTTATGACCAATTGTGTGATTCAGACTAAAATTTAAGTATATATCTCCAGAATTGATCTACATATTATTAGGATTTATGTTCTTACTAGAAAGAAACAAGATGTGTCAGACAGTATATTAGTTTGCTAGGGCTGCTGCAACAAGTAGTACAAACTAAGTGGCTTAAATAGCAGAACTGTATCATCTTACAGTCCGGAGGTTCCGAGTCTGAACCTGAAGTGTCAGCAGGGTTGTTCCTTCTGTGGACTGTGAGGGAGAATGTGTGCCATGCCTCTCCTCTAGCTTCTGGTGGTTTGCTGACAATCTTTGGCACTCCTTCTCTTGTAGGAATATCACTCCATCTCTGACTTCATCCTCACGTGTCTCTCTCCTGTGTGCATCTTTCTCCAAATTTCCCTGTTTTATAAGGATTTATAAGAATCATATTGGATTTGGGATCCAACCTAATCCAGTATGACCTCATCATCACTTAATTAATCATATCTGCAATGACCCTATTCCAAGTAATGTCACATTCTGAGGTTTGGGGAGTTAGGACTTCAATATATGAATTTTGGGGTGAGTTTGGCTTAGTTCCTAACACATGGAAAGAGGGTAGATTTTCTTCTACTTTGCCGGTTTGGTACTGTTAAAGTTTTAGTCTGCTCTGCTTAATTCACTTAATAGATGAGATCTATTGTAAATTATGAATAATAAAGTGAAGGAATATAAATGAGGATTATATTTTTTGTTTTGCTGTTTACTTAACAGGATTTATATACAGATACTGAGATTTAAAAAGCCTTCTGGTAAGAGTGGCTAACATTTATTGAATGTTCACTATCTAATGATTTCCATGGATTTCCCCACTGAAGTTTCACATCAATTAGATAGATATTAAAATAGATATTATTTATAGATTAGATATTAGATAGATATTAGATATTATTATTTGATAGATATTATTATTTATCTACATTTTCTTGATGGGACTCCAATACACAGCTGTAAAGTAATCTACCCTAGGACATGCAGTAGTAGAGTTGGCATTGGAATCCAAGCTCACTAACTCTGGGCCCTCACCACTGAGTACATACTATCCCCTTAATCTTATTACAGTCAGGTAAGGTAGACAACATTATCACTTTATGGTTGAGGAAAATAAAGCTTAAAGTAACTAGAGACTTCCCTGGCTCACAAAACCAGCATGTGTATAATATTGATAAGTATATAATATTTGGAATTTGAGTTTAGATATTAACCTCCATGCGAAAATCCTTTCTACCTTTGACTTCAAGTTCCACTGTGTTTCCTCTGCAAACATTCTTGCATTTACCTTACAAGGCACTCATGACATGGCTGGTGACACAGGGCGTCCTTGTCTCCTCAGATACTTGTGACTCCTCGAGGTTTGTAGATCCTTGTCTGTATTCCTAGAATCTTGCATAGTCTCTAACACACAATAGACAATAAATATTTTTAAACCAAATGCATCTAAGTAAAGGCAAAGGAGCCAAAGAAAAGGGAGACCACCTGAAAACAAGAAATAAGAGTTAATAGAAGGAGTAACCGAGGTGACAGAAGATGAAATTTGGGGTAAGGATAAAGATATTATCATAGGAGATTACTATGAATATCTTAGAGAAATAAGCTAAAAATGAGGAAAAGATATGGGTTGTTGAAGTGATGAGAGGAAGCTCTTTTCTTATTGGAAGGTGGGATCATCAACTAACAGTATTGGCATGTAAGGAGTTACCTGGGTTGCAATGAGGTTTATGAGTGGGCAGAGGAAGAGATTTCACTTGGGACTGGATTAGAGACATGTTTCCCAGTATAAGTTTAGGTAGTACACAGTAAACATTGATGTTAATAGACAACTATTTATTTTAATGTGCATTTTGAAAAAAAATCTAAGCAGCCTGTCAAATCCCATCATTTTATATAGTTATTAATGATTAAGATAATTTTAAAGGAGAGAGTTATATAACAATGTATTCATAAGTAAGTTAATTTAGTACTTAAAAATAAGGGAATTAATTTAAAGAAATAGGTAGTTTTAGGTTGCACTTGGATATGGGAAAGAAAAATATGGCTCAAGATTGGAAAGAGGTTTTCAGAGTTTATACACATCAAAACAATTTTTTTGTCTAATGACAGGAATACTTAGTTAAAACTAATCATAAAATGTGTACATGCATGTGTTCAGTTATGTCCAACTCTTTGCAACCTCATAGACTGTATAGCCTGCCAGGCTCCTTTGTCCATGGGATTTCCCAGGCAAGAATACTGGAGTGTGTTGTCATTTCCTTCTCCAGGAGATCTTTCTGACCCAGGGATCGAAACCTGCGTTTCCTACATTGGAAGGCAGGTTCTTTACCACTGAGCCCTCTGGGAAGCCCTAGTCATAAAATGACTTGGCTGTAAATACTTCAAGGTTAGGGATTGTGTTTTTCTGTTTTTGTATTCTCTACAGATCAATCCACCACCTTGAATACATTTGGTTCTCATTAAATATTTTTTGAATTTATTAAAGAGTAGACTAGAAAAGTGATACTTTTTGCTCATGTTAGATACCTTTTTGTTGTTGTTTAGTCACTAAGTTGTATCTGACTCTTGGCGTCCCCATGGACTGCAGCACACCAGGCTCCGCTCTCCTCTGCAGTCTCCTGGAGTATGCTTATAATCACGCCCACTGAGTTGGTGATGACATTTAGCCATCTCGTCCTCTGCTGCTCTCTTTTCATCCTGCCCTCAATCTTCCCTAGCATCAAGGCCTTTTCCAATGAGTCAGCTCTTCGCATCAGGTGGCCAAATTATCAGTGCTTCAGCTTTAGCATCAGTCCTTCCAATGAATATTTAAGGTTGATTTCCTTTAGGATTGACTATTTTGATCTCCTTGTTGTCCAAGGGATTCTCAAGAGTCTTATCCAGCACCACAATTCAAAAGCATAGAAATCTCTAGGTTAAAACAAAACAAAACAATAACTCGGACTGTAAATATTCAGTTAAATGTGGCATAAATTAAAAAGAAAAAAATCCACTTATTAAAGTCTAAAAATAAGGTTTTGGACAAGAGGATTTGAGTTCCATGAAGTTCTTCACTGACTGAATATAAATAAAAGTAAAGGAGCTCTATTTCCTTATGGAGAGAAAATCATAATTCTAAAAGATACATACACCCCAATGTTCATAGCAGCATTGTTTACAGTAACCAGGACTGTGCTAAGTCACTTTAGTCGTGTCCGACTCTTTGAGACCCAATGACTGTAGCTCACCAGGCTTCTTTGTCCACGGGGACTCTCCAGACAAGAATACTAGAGTGGGTTACCATACCAAGGGGATCTTCCCCACCCAGGGATCAAACCTGCATCTCTAATGTCTCCTGCTTTGGCAGGTGGGTTCTTTATCACTAGTGCCACCACATGGAGGCAATCTAAATGTCCATCGACAGGTGAATGGATAAAGAAGGTGTGTTACATTCACACAATGGACTATTATTCAGCCATTAGAAAGAATGAAATAATGCCATTTGCAGAAACATAGATGGGGACCTAGAGATTATCATAATAAGTGATAATATCAGACAGAAAAGGACAAATATATGATATCACTTACACGTGGAATCTAATACAGATGGATTTATTTACAAAACAGAAACAGACTCACAGACATAGATATCAAATTCATGGTTATCAAAAATGAGAAAGATGGGGTAAATTAGGCATCTGGGAGTAATGCATGGATACTACTATATATAAAACAAATAATCAACAAGGACCTACTGTATAGCACAAGAAAGTATTAATATACTCAATATTTTGTAATACCCTATACAGGAAAATAATCTGAAAAAATAATATATACATATATTCTTTTATATATGTGTGTGTGTATATATATATATATATATATATATATATATATATTTAAAATCAGATTGCATGGTGCATATGTTCAATTGTATTCCTGTTCTTTGCAACCCCATGGACTGTAGCCTGCCAGGATCCTCTGTTCATGGAATTTTTTAGGCAAGAATATTGGAATATTGGAGTGGGTTGCCATTTCCTGTTCTAGGGGATCTTCCTGATGCAGGGCTAGAACCCACATCTCTTGCATCTCCTGCATTGGAAGGTTGATTCTTTATCGCTGTACCACCTGGGAAGTCCCATAGTCAGATTATATATATATATATATATATGTAAATTCAGTTATACACACACACACACAAATGAATCACTTTGCTGTTGCTGTACATCTGAAACTAACACAACATTGTAAATCAACTATACTTCAATAAAAAATAAATTAAAAAGAAGTGAAAGAGCCACCCTGAAATAAATGAGTTACCTTTCTTCTATTTCTTTTTTTCTGGCCAAACACATCTCTTTGACAATGACTGCAAATGGACACTCTGGCATTTAATTGGGCTGTTTTGAATCTGTTACTCTGCAGTTTAATAAGCAAGGAGGTGAAGTTTGAAGATAATACTTTGTAATCTTTGGCAGAATTGCAAGCTGTGATGGAAACCTCATCCGTGTAGTGGTAGGGATATGATTTCTTGGCTGTTTGGTTTTATGTTTATTCCAGATCATATGAGTGAAGTACAGAGATTATTTTGCATGTCTGTCTAATTCATCCCTTGATCTCTGGGTTATTTTACCGTTGAGTTTATCTACTAAGTTATTCCCTACCTAAAACACATTACTTTCTAGAGTTTCTTAAGTAGCAGTTAATCACTCAATAATAACACTGGGGGGGCATGGTGCTTGGCTTTGATGATGGTTACGGGTTAATTCTGAAATTGTCATGCTCCACTGGGTAAACCAGGTGGATTTTTATGTGTTATTCAAATACACCTTGGGCAGCTTTTGACTTTGAAGAAACAATTTTTTATCTTTTCTAAGGAATGACCTGATTACAATCTGTTGATAAAATAAGATCTTTTGTTTTGGGAGCATCTGCAAACAGAAATGTTTGGGGCCATAAGGCTTCTGCTGAGACCAGCTGTGCATGAACCTGAGGTACTTTGCTTCATTTCCCAGGGTTAAAATAGCTCTAACGCTGGCCTCCCCATACCCCGGGTACTTTTCTCTTTAGCTCACATCTATTCTTTGTTGCTTCATAAAGCCCCACTCTATCTTCTCTTAGTTTATTGCCATTGACTCCCTATCTGTAAGACATCCACCAAGCTATTTTATTCTTATCTCCAGTCTGTTTTTTTTTAACTTCATTAAGGTATGATTTATATACAATAAGCTACACTCATTTACAACCTGATGTACAACCTGATGAATTTTAATACCCCAAGCTTTTCTAACCTAGACTGAAAACTTAGTAACAAAACTTCATCTGGGCTCAAGATGACCAAGTTATCTTCTTTGAAGGAAAGCATCATGGGGGTAATTTATCTGTGGCCTTCAGAGTACCTGACTATAGTTTTGAAGAAAATAAGTGGAATTCTTTTCTGCTTAAGAGATGGGATTCAGGCAGCTAAGATCCCAAGTGTCTCTTGGCCAAAAAACCCAAAACATAAAACAGAAGCAATATTGTGACAAATTCAAATAAAGACTTTAAAAATGATCCACATAAAAAAAAAAAAATCTTCAAAAAGAAAAAAAAAAAAGAGATGGATTCAGAGGCCACATAACTGTAAGAGGCAGACTAAGATGCAGACCCAGATCTGTTCTATCCCAAATTTGTGTTATTACCTGCTACACTCTTTTTACTTTCCTCCTGGGTAAGGCAGTGACTCAGTGTCAGGGTGTGTCCCTGAAGAGCGCTATTTATGATGAGGTAAACAATTCTAGTGTCAGTAGACACCAGCCACAAAACCACATTTGCATCATATTTATTATTCTGCTTGCCTCAGATCAGACATGTCAGAGAGATAAAAGCAACTTATTACAAGGAAGAAGGCGAAGGTGAGGAGAGAATGGGGGCTGTAATGGCGTATTGTCTTCTCTTGTGCTTGCCTGGTATCGTAATCATGGAGAAAGGACTAAGAAGTATGTTTTTTTTCTTCTTCTTCTTCTTTTAATATTTATTTATTTATTTATTTGGCCGCACCAGGACTTAGCTGTGGCATGTGGGATCTTCTACCTAAGGCCAGCTTTTAAAAGCAATGGAGGCCACATTGGCGCCTGAATGCATAAGAGGTTTCATTGTTGTTTTACTTGACTTTTTGCTTTTCTTTTTTTTATTTAAAGAACTATGAACATAAAGAATTTCACTTAGCTGGTCACTAAGACTTTTTGGTGAGGAAGGTTGGGTTGTTTTCATCATGGTGTGCAGGAGGAGAATTCTAGAAGGAGTGTTAAGAGACCAGGTTATATGTCTTGCTCAGTTACTTTCTGGTTGGGTTACTTTGACCAAGAAAACAATTTCTCCAAACCTTCATTCTCTCGTCTGTAGGAGAAGAGAGGGAGATGATGGTGATCTTCAAGGCTCCCTTTTGGCTGTAACCTAGGGTTGTCAGTGGCCCTAAAATGCCTACGGGATACCCTGTTCAATTTGGATTTCAGATAAAC